AGCAGGCAAGCAGGCAAGCAGGCAAGCAGGCAAGCAGGCACTCAAGCAGACATTCAAGCAACCAAGCAAACGAACTAGCGAACGACCGGTGTCTCGAAGGCTGAATCCACCGCTCTAAAAATCTTGTTAATTGAAAGACATTTAATCTGTGGAAACTCTATTCTGCCTTCTACTTGTTAGCAAAAGATACTGCGCAAGAGGGTTGCTATTATTCCCTGTGGTAGTCATATTTACGTATAGAAACCATTCTTATCCTAGGAACTCTATCCTGCCTTCTGCGTGCATAGTGCGGGCAAAGAGGACCGTCTTCCAACAGCCAGTACCTGCATGAACCTTYTAAAACTGCCAGAATTTCCTGACGATGAGACGATGAAAGAACGTCTGCTGTATGCCGTTGAGTCTGGTGCGGGMTTCGAACTTAGCTGAGCGTTCCCGTTCTACTACTCTTGAGCTAAAAGGATCTATTTTTATGATAGACTGTTAGCTATGCGAGGAAGCAGCATTCGTGCAAATGACCCACGATGACTTGTGGTGGAGAACGAAGTTGTAAGCTGCCAGTAGGCGAGAGAACTTGTCGATTGRCTAGTAATATAAACATAAACAACAACTTAAACATCTAAAATTGCGATACCATCGAGAGATAAATTGCAGCGTRTAGACCCCTGACATTCAATCTCAATCTTGGAGTCAAACCAGAAAAAAATTACGCGTAGAAAAATTTAAATCCTCAAGAGGAGAGAATGCGTACCAGGTGATCTCGCGCACGCACTTCCAGTTACTATTAWCCAATCAGAAGCATTTTTGTTGCATCGCCAAAAGTTCCATGATGGATTTTAAAATGGATTTCTATTTCGATTTAACATTTTTTGAAATACTTCCTGAATTATAACTTTACATTGGAAAATTACTTTACATGTACCACAAAAGCTTCCTCTTGCCCTATCAGCAGTTGAATTAATAAAAACAAAGCATAAATGCAATAAAAGTAAGCGAAATGGGTGTGGTCTTAATTGGTCACCAGCCGCCATTTTGAGTACCGTGAGATATTATGAAATAGAAGACTGGGTATTAGGAACCGTTCGATTTGACAATTAATCCTTCGGGCGCTTGGAGGCGAGATTACCTGGTATGTTTTGCCCTCTAAAATGGTTATTAACGAAGGGTCCAGTTGACATTGCAGTGCATTTTGGGCTTGTCTCAGGGGACATGTTTCCAAGATGGCGGCTATTCCGGCCGTTAAGAAAGCCTCAAGATGCACTACAATACAAACTCGATCCAGTTTTTCCCATAACCTTGAAATGGCTAATATGGGTAAAGATAACGCATTTAATCTTTCTGTCACACGGAATATTTGTGAAAAAAAAAAAATTAAGGCAGTTTAAAGAGAAAATGTCGAGAAGCAAGTTATACTCATTACGCAATCGGGATTCCTTTTACAAATGAAAGAGGATCTTTCAGAAGAAGAATACAAAATGAAAATTGTGAGCGAAATCGGCGATTGTTGATCTCGCTTTTGTTGATCTCTAGAATTAAGAATAAAATAAAACTA